TGAGAGGCACATGAGATATATGTATAGGGCGGAGGTGGAGGCCGAAGTGGTGGAGTTAAGGTACAAATAATTTAATTATGAGTTTATTAGTATAGTGTGAATTGTATTGATTTGTACATCTTGAAAAATAGTAAACGACCTCGATAAATTATGAAATTTGAGTAAAGACATGTATACGTGATTCTAGAAAAATTTTGTGTTTTAACTTTTTATTAAAAAGATCAATTGGAACTTGTAATCGGATAATCTTGATTATTGTAGTTTTGATTCATTTTAGCAATACAGATTTTAGAAGCTGTTTTAACCTGCGAAACGAGTTCATTTTTATTGGTTTTGCGTAAACTGAAGTAAAACGTTATTCTGCACACTTTTCATGTTTTGAACTTTTACGAAAAAAATCATCTTAGGACAGTTTTTGCTCGTTTTCAGTTTCAGATTTTTCGATTGAATTCCGTCTAGGTTTTTCTATCAAGTTTTTCTCTCAACTTGTTCAGTTTCTGTTAAATTCCTTCGCATTGTCTTTTAGGAAATTTGATTATGTACAACTTTTGCTCTTTGAGTTTTGATTAATTTGAATTATTTAAGTATGAAATTATACTAACTTCATTTTTTTTGCAGAATGGTGGGTCTTACTAACTTTTTTTATGCAGGCCTGATCCACCACATTTTTATTTCTATTTTATTTATTTCATAATCAATTTGTATTTCGTTGTGTACGGACAAGAGACTAAATGCCACCGTATCTCAAGAAACTACCTATTTGTCTCAGTACGGTTGGAACTACTTGTCTTGTCCCGTAATAAGAATTTAATGTATTTTTGTTTATGTTTGGTGGACATGTGGGTGTTGAATCTTGTACTTATACCAGTATATTTGTATACTGACTCGTTTTATCTCTTGGCAACTTAGGTGTGTTCTGTTTGAGCGCAGCTGAGCTTCCTTTGCAAGATTAGTTGAGGCTACGGTGGTGACGTGGAATTATTATAGTATTGGACTTGTCGTTTGGACCTTTTTTGTTTTCTTGAGCTTAAAATTGATATTAGTTTATGCATTTATTATTATTTTTTAATGACTTTAGTATTGGAATAATTTGACATGATTTGTAATCGTACTTTATTTAAGTTGTTTTGACTGGTTGTTGCTACTTGAATGTTGAGGTATTGGTTAGTTATAAAATTATGGTGGATGGTTTGGTTGACCATTAGTTTTTTTTTTTTTTCTTTTAACCCTTAAGATTTGGATGATGGAATATTATTGGGGTTAGTCATAATTTAATATTTAATTGTCCAAATTTTAGGGCGTGACAAGATCTAAGTAGGTCTACTCATATTCTTTGTCTGAAACATATATTCTTTACCGTCGGTGAGGGTGAAGTAAAGAGTCGGCGGTCGTTGGTTGTGGGTGAATCCCAATCGATGGTAGTCGTCGGTCGCCGGTGACTATATATTGGAAAAAGAAAGAGAAGAAGTAAGATATGGTTACCTATCAACGATTGTCGGAAATCACAAAGAGCAAAAGAAGTAGAGAAGAAGAGAGGCAGAGAAAAAGAATAACGTTATAGGACTTTTGGATATCAACAAATGGTTATGGGACTAAATACACTACATGTTTTTCAAACAAGACTTTTCAATAATTTTTCCTTTTTTTTTTTCTTTTTCTTTTTGTTTTCTTTTTCATTTATTTATTTATTTATTTTTCACATCTCTTGTTGTCACTAGTACCCTAAAACAAATATTGAACACCATATAGTTTTGAGCTCACCTTATCAAAATTTTGAACAATTTTGTTATGTCTTTACCCACAATTCCCAAAAATAAAAATAAAATAAAATAAAATAAAAAATGGCTTTCCTAAAGCAATATTTTCACATAACAGCATATATAAGAGTTTTAAAGATCAAGTTTTTTTTATCTCTAAAAGTATAAATTTTGTTACAAAAATATTTGGGGATTAATTTCAATTCTCACGAGAACAGTTGCTAAGAAGACGATCTAAAAGGTCAAAAATGAAATTTTTAGGGACAAAATTTTCAAAATGTCGCTAATAAATATACTTTTAAGGATAAAATAACTTGCCCTAAAAAGATTTATATTTTGAGACAAAACTTTTGCTCCCAAAAAATTAATAATTCATCGTTAAATGTCTAATTTTATTGTTAAAATAAAATAATAATACTTTTAGTGACAAAATTATTTTACTCATAAAAATAATTTTATCTCTAAACTTTTTTCTTTAAATTGAATGTTTATGTGACAATTTGACATCTTTTTCATTTTTTTTTATCAATAAAAGAGAGTTTTATTGGTATCGAGAAAGATATAAAGATCGTAGCATGCATCAATAAAACAGGGAATAACAAAAAGCATCATGGTTACGTTAGACGATTCCACAGACTAAAAAGTACAATTATATGCCAAGTCCACAATAATGAAAAACGAACCAACAAGAAAGTAATAATATAAGTCCGGGGTGGGTGATATTGTGGTTAAGATTTGGGGTTTAAATCTTAAGGTTTTATGTTCAATTCCCTCTTTTTTGGGCCAATTTTTTGGATGAAACACAGTTGGTTAAGAGGTTGAACCTCAAGTGTCTAATCAGTACATGGTGTAGATTCAATGCTCCTCTGATTTGCGAGTCCTAACTTAAACGGAACTTGTCTTGGGAGGTCGAGATAAATTCTCAGGTTATAGTCTCCTCGCTGGGAACGACTAACAGGATATCCTGGTGATCTCTGCAAGAAACGCTGCCTTAGACCTATGGGAGAATAGAGAGGATTTTCCTGTCACAAAAAAAAGAAAAGAAAAAGAAAGTAATAATATAAAGGTTTGTTTTAAAAAATAGATTAAAAACTAATTTTTTTAATTTTTAATTTTTTTAAAAATTATATTAAAAATAAAGAAATAATGTAATCTAAAAAATCAAAAAAATTTAAGTTTTGTTTGGTATTGGCTACGGTAGCCAACTTTTTTGTGTTGAGACTTTTTTAACTTGATTTTTTTATCCTCGTTTGATTTTTGTTTTTAGACTTTTTTGACGCTTGTGAAAGAAAAAGTGTAATAATTATAATTTATATGTAACATTTTATCTTATTAATTTAAATATCCTATTTTATCTTTTCATATTTTTTCTAACCCCAAAATATTTACCAAACAAGGATTAAAAAAAAGGAAAATGTTTGGTAGCTCAAAATTTTGTGGCTCAAATGGCTCAAATCTGTCAAAACGACGTCGTTTTACACTCAAAATCTGTCAAAACGACGTCGTTTTGAGTGATTTGAGCCATTTGAACCACAAAAATTTGAGCTACCTAGCATTGTTGTTTCTCTTATATATGTAAATAAATCAGCTCTTCATAATCATTTTGGTCATAAAATTGACATGTACAGTTCACATGTTCAACCTATATAATGGACCTCTATATCATCAAATTATTTAAGATTTTGCTCCCCCCATATAATCCACATATGATTTAAGGAAATCAGCATCCACCAGCTTTTCGTCCTCTTACCCACTTGAACCCCTTGCCAACTGTAAAGGAGTTCATCCACCCCACAAGTGAATGCCCAAATCACCTTGAACAAAGATAATACTGAATTCCAAAGCTCCCTTCTCACTTGGCAATGTACAAGTCAATGATTCACTGATTCTCCATCTTTTTTGCACATACAATACCAATCTAGAAACATTTGTTTTCGTCGGATCAAATTATCTGTAGTAAGGATTTTACCATCAGCTGCACACCAAACAAAAACGTCACATTGGAAAGATCCTCGGGCTTCTAAATAGCTTTCCATGGGATAGAAGGCTAGAAGCACTATGATGATAAATCAATGGCCTCTAATACAAAGCACCCAGTATAGTCAACTTCCATCTCAAAGAGTCTTCCCTTGTCTAAATTCTAGATATCTTGTACAACCTCTTAGCCGCCCCATCAGTCGATCATCTCCCTGCCCTATAGTTGCAACATAACAAGATATTTATATGTTGATCAGCATGACAAAGCAAGATGTCCCAAAAAACATATTGTCCCTCTCTACGTAAATACGCATCCACTGTGGCATCTCGGTCCCCGACAACATGAAAAACAGAGGGATTCCATTTGCCAACATCTCTTCCCCACTCCACAACTGCAACTAAAACTTAAGTTTCCTAGTCCCTCATTGAAAAGCATGATTTAAGTTCTAGAGTATCGAATAATACTAAAATTCTTTTCGAATTTGCCTCTGTTTGGAAAAAAAAAACTTTGTTACTTTTCATAGCTCTGACTCTGAGCCGCCGAGGACGGAATGGGTAACAAGGACATAAACTATATTGGCAAACTCAATAAAGTACTCCTAATAAGTGTGAATCTTCCCCCTTTCAACATGCATTGCCTCTTCCATTTTGTCAACCTACTTTGAAACCCCACCACAACTGGATTCCAAACTAGCTGAGTTTTGAAAGAGGAACTCAATGGCAAACCTAGATAGGAAGACTAGAAAGACCCCACTTTGCAACGAAGGATAGATATTAGCCAATCTATATTTGGTACCTTCCCTACCAGAATCAATTTGACTTCTCAAAATTCTCTCGAAGGCTTAAAACAACTTCAAAGCATAGGAGCACACACACTAGATACCCAACTACTTTGCATCCGTCCCATGACAAATAATAATATTGTATGCAAACAAGAGATGAGAAGTAGTCAACAAGGAATCATCCAACCGTCCTACCTGAAAACCTTCATAAAGCTTCCCCCACTGCCATATCAACCGTGCTACTAAACACCTTACCAAAATCACAGCTGGCAAATAAAAGGTCTCCCGACCTCCACTCCCTATAAGTTTGAAGAAAACTCTCTGTTTTTTAATTTTGAAGGGACATTTGTCTATATCATTTTCGATGGTGATGATTTTGGCTTAGATAGCTTTGACAAGACGTTTGATTCAGTTTATAATTCAATTTAATAACGAAACTGCACTGTTCAAAGTTGCAGCTCATCCCATTTGAAATCCATTTCAGCGGCTTTGCAACATCATCTCTTCCCTTTTCTCTCTCGCTCTCTCTTCAACGGACCACCATCAAGGTAATGCCACTTTTCTCTTGCTCTCTCTTCAAACCTCACCTATTTCAGCATCTTTTGTTTTAATAATCTTTACTCTAATTTGTGAATATCTTTTGTTTCAATAATCTTTAATTCTAGCAAGTTTGTTACTCAATAATATTGACAACATGTTGTCCAATTTAATTGCTTTATTGATGTTTACAGGTTGTGATTGAAACATTGTGTCTGAAGCATTGTGGACTTCCTTAAGACCTTTCATATCGAAACATTGTGGTAAGAATTTGATTTGTGTTCTTACTTAAACATTGTCTCTATATATATTTTTTGTTTGCTTTTCTATCTATTTGTCCACTTTATGTGCAAAAGTATATATTGGTTGACTTTACTACTACATATATTTCTACTCATTTACACCCTTTGCTAGGTTGGGGTAATGTGGCATATCTAAAAATTTTAGGATTTATTAATTTGTAAGAACAATGGTAAGATTCATTAATATTTTCTTTTCATGTTGTTTGGAGTTAGATTGTGTTACCAATACCTGAAAATGTCCTCATATTAGACTGATTCATTATTTTTATTTAATGTTTGGAGTCAAATTATTATTTTAAAATTGTGTAGATGTGCAAATCTTTTGTTATATGTTAATTTTAATAAATAGATTCTTGGAAGCAAAGTACTAAGTGATTGATGTGTTTTATTGGTAGTTTCCATTGGAAACACAATCCATTTTGATAAATTGTTTAATTTTAGTAAAATTTGGTAGCGGAAAATGATTGGTATGTTATTAGTTTGGCGTCTGCATATCTATTTGATTTTTTATTAATTCCTTGAATGAGATATTTTATTCATGGAAAATGATTGGTAGATTATTAGTTTGCAGTTCCATTTAAACCTCTTTTAATTCAATAAAATTTAAGAAAGCTTAAGCCATCGATATGTTTGATTTCTAACAATAATGTAGGAGCCATCGATATGTTAAGTATCTATTGATATAGATTTATATCAGCCATTTGTTATATTTATATAGATTTACAGTCTAAATCGGATGAGATTGAAGTTTATGAGATATAATAGGATTTTAGTTTATGATAATGTGTTTCAAATATAATGTGTTTAATATGTGTATGATAATGGGTCTCAAATATAATGAGATTTAAGTTCCTGATAATGTGTTTTATATAAACGAGTTATCTTCTACCGTCTAAAACTTGCTATTTAGTGGATGGAGCTCTCAACTTTGCTAAAGAAACTTTCAATAGACTTGGATAGCATAAATGAGAATTAAGTGTTTCAAATATGATTAGTGTTCTGATAAATGATTTAGGTGATTTTGATAAATGTGTGAATTGGGTTTCATTTTTAACATGAAAAGTAATGTTTTGTTTTTATTTTATTGTTAAAAATTAGAATTGGGTTTCATTTTATTTGATTGTACTTAACGTATGGCACAATTAAGTAATCAAATAGTCATTGTACAGCCCATTGTTATTTAAACCCAATCTATTTATAACACTATTAAATGAGTTATTTCTTCACTGCAGGTCTGTGGTGTTTCAACCTCTTCAACAACCTTAGATTTTATTTTAATTAAAATCATGGACAACATTTATAGTTTTGGTTAAGTATGTTTAGTTTATAGTTTATGAATCGAGGCTTAATTTCTTGCTTATTATTTATAATTTTTCTCATAATTAAATATTTTTGTTTTATTCTTTACAGGTGGATGATATGTTAGAGGAAACAGTAATATTAAATCTCTATAACATTTTTTATTTAATCTACATTCCTTAATATAATTTTTCTTTTACCTTTCAAATGCATTTCTATATATACACAGGTTCAGTTTCTTCAAAATAGAAATGTCAGTGTTGTGCTCTATATGAACGTGACTTCAATGTCCTCTGTGTTCGTGGGGTAAGCCCACTAATCAAATTTATTTGTTTCTCATATTTTTTCTCAAAGGCAATGGTAAGGGCAAAGGAAAATGAGAAGCTTAAAGGAAAAGAAAGGAAAACTACTTAATAAAGGGAATAAAAAAAATACACAAGTGGTATGATTCTTTTCAAGTTTGTTTTGGAGCATGTGTAAAGAAAATCATGGGGGAATATGATATGTTGAAGCATGCATAATTTGTGTAATTTTTGTTTTTTACTGTAAAGTTTGTGAAGATGGGCATGGTGCTTTTAATCCGTAATATTACTAATTTCCAAACTAAATTATGCATCCTTAAAAAACAATACACTAGAAAAAATTATAAAGGATCTTTTACAAAGATATATAAAATTTTCCAAATAGAATAGGGAAGTAATTAAAGTTTAAAAAAGAATACAAATGATAAAAGAAGGAAACAAATTGAAAGTGTATTTTAATTAAAATTTTGTTTAAATTATAATCAAGTCAAACTTTTGTAGGATTGGGTTGAAAAAGCTATGGAGCTCAAGAGGATAAATAAGACTACATTACTTTGATGGAATAGTAATAAGGTATTCTTAGTTCATATTGTTTCAATATCTATTTTTCGTATTGTTTCAATATGCTAATGTTAATGTTTTTTAAATATTAGATTGTTGTGTATGCTCTTCACTGGAAAAAGTACACAGAAGTTGATACATGGACATTTCAAAATGTGATGGAGAACAAGTTTGAAGGTGCCCAAGCACTTTAGATGCGTCCAAGTACTTTTTCTATAGGCGTCCAAGTTTTTGTAGAGGCGCCCAAGTACTTTTTGTTGAGGCGTCCAAGTTTGAAGACATTATATGGCATACATTTTGTAAAGCTTGATGTTAACCAATTTTGTAAAGCTTCATATTGATATATACTTCAATGGATTTCTAATATTTTTGTAAAGTCTATTATCAATGTAAAAGATTGGACCTTATGGATGGTTATTGAGTGTGGACTATCAAGTGCCCTTGAAAATTCACTAAACTTAAGTGCAACAATTTAATTTAGTATCTTCACATATTTTGGTGGAAGTCACATATGCTTGACATGAATTTTTGTCTAATTTTAGTGTCTATTGTGGAAGATGTTAGAGTCACATTGAAAAAGAATAATTTATTAGTGGGTTGAAGAAGGAGAATGTTAATAGTATTGTTACCTCTTAATTTGATCATGGTTATGAATTTTATGTTTCTTCATTAAGAAAAACCAGTGTATTTTGATGCACTATTTTCATGGTTTATTTCTGAATTTATTTATCTTTTCAGGACCTCTGACATTCCAACACAGCTAGTTGTGAAAGTAGTTTCGGTTTGTTGTATCATCCCTGATATTTTGGTATCAACAATAAAGTTAGTCTTCAAAGTAACTTGGGTTATTTTTATTTCATTTATTTATAAGTAGTTAATTGAAACTGTGAAGAAGTTGGGAGGATTTGAATTATTTCTATTGATATTTGATGTTTAGTAGACTAATTTGAACTATTCCTTAAACATGACTACTTTTGAAAATATGCTAGAGAATGAGGTGGGAACTCTTGAAGGCACCACCCATAAAAGATTTGAAATTTATTAGTTATTTATTTCAATTTTCTTTATATATTTTGTTTCTCTTTCTATGTGAAGTTTTGAATTAGAGTGATATTATTATTTTGAATTGATTTATTATAATTGAATTTCGTAGCATGTGTGGTATCAAAAAAAAATTGCTCACAGTGCCTTCAGGCACGGGTTATCCCTAGTATATATATATATAACACCTCTTTTTTTTATATATAACGAATATAAATATATAAATATTTGGATTAATTATATATAATTAAATAACACATTAAATATCACATTACTAATGGAGAAATTTTTTTTTTACAGTTTCAAATTTTTTTGGTGCTGGAATGAATCATGGTATAAAACTGTAAAATTTTACAGTTTCATAACATTCTTTAAAACTATAAAATTTTACAGTTTCATAATATGTTTTTCAGTTTGATTAATAAGGATAAATGCTTAATAGATTTTTGCTTTGAAACTGCAACAATTTACAGTTTCAAAACTTACTTTTCAGTTTGATGAATATTGGAGATTATTTGCTTTAATCTTACAAAAATTAAAAAATAGCATATGTTTTTCCCATTGTTGCTGTTTTTTGTCGTTTCATTTTTTTTTTAGTTTATTAATATTTAACACATATTGCTATATTTTTTTCGCTCTAATTTCTCCATTTATTCTTTTTTTTTCCAGTAATATTCTAGACATTTCGGTGAGTCTTCAGTGATGTTCTTAACGTCCAGTGAACGTTTTGAACATTCCGGCGACTTCCATTAACGTTCTTAACACTCCGGTGAACTTCCGGCGATACTCCGACGACTTCCCGGTGATGTTGAACATTCCGACAAGTCTCCAGTGACCGTTTGACGAAAGTCCGACGGAAATAAAATATAACAGTATTTATAAATTAAAAAAAAAAAAAATTTAGTAACAATTAAAAATGTATAAGATTAATTGGTGTAAACATTTTGTTTGAGAATTAGATAGGTCTTAAACTTTGTATATGAGACTTATTAATGAGTTGCTTCATAAGTGGTGTAAGCACAAATCTGGCCAATGTTGACTGGCCACCTACCCAAATTTAAGCCCATCAAGAAACCAAATCCAAACTAAAACGTGCCCATCCAAAAGAAAAATTAGAATGGAAATTATCTACAAAGAGAAGAATATATACATATATATGTAAGTGAATTATTTCACTTTAAACATCTTCAGTTTTTAACATTTTGTAAAGTAATTTCGATAATGTAAAATAGAGCTTTTATGGATGATGAAATTCAAATCCTAAAATCTGATTCAATTTCTCCCATGATACCATAAGTGTAAATTTCTAAATTTTGTGTATAATAATATGTTTTGCTCCGAACTAGAGAAGTTAATATACTTAACAGACTATCATTAATCAAAACCGTCAACTGCCTCACCAACAGGAAACATAACAACTGGCAGGAGGAGAAGAAAAAAATTCCATTGAACATGGTTGTTGGCACAACATATTTGCACTAAAATATCACATGAATTGGGGTATTAGGGTGAGACCACAAGTGTTTAAATGTTATCACAATCAAAAAGCTGTTTTGAATTTTCTTTTTTAATAAAATTGCCGGACCTAGCAAATGTGGTAACATATACTTTTATTTACAACTGAAAAGCCACAATCTAAACCACATACATGGAGAATAATAGGTCAAATTTAAGGGATTGTAAAGGGACAGAGACGCATCCACAAACCATTTACACCGCAAACTTCTTATCTATACCATCTACCTGCTTATGCAATTTTTCACATCACGATGCACTTTTCTTTTGATGATTTCGCTTCCTGCCTGGAAGACAAAGTGGAGCTCCGGGCACTGCTTCTTGTCACCTGCACAATTCCATTAATTTGCCAAAGTATGCTCTGCTTTAACTTGCAAGAGAATCGTCATCAACGTTTTTATGTTTTGGATACCACACAAAAGCCTAGTCCAAATTTAGAAAAAAAACAAATGCAATTTTAATGTATTTTACTAGCCGGACTTATCTTTGAGTGATGGTGTAGCTTTAAGGAGTCGGGCTCATAATTGGTTCTAATATAGGCATGAGAATGAAGAGAGAAATATGTGTGTGTGTGTGTGTGTGTGTGTGTGTGTCCAGTCCCAATCCATGTTGACCAGAACATCTATTTGTAAACATCAATCAAAAAGGTTCATGCTTTCTTTAGGTTGTGTTTGCATATAGATTTGGAAAAGGAAAGAGAAAATATGGGTGAAATGTGAATGAAATATAGCTACATTTCACCCACCTTTTCCCTTTTCCCTTTTCCTTTGCAAATATTCTTATCCAAATCCATAATCCAAATACAGCCTTAGTTGTTCAGTTGCTATTTCTGAAAGACAAATAAAAAGATCTGCACATGAAACAGCATAAGCCAAATAGATTGTAAGCATACAAAGCATCATCCATCGGCATTTCTTAAACAAAAAGTGTGTCAGATGTCTAGGTTTGATTCAGTGTCAGTGTTCAATAGTGAAGATCTTCAGAGATAATGCAAAGCATGCTCCAATCCAATCTCAACCTCGTGAGCATGACATATTAATCTAAAACACGAGCTTTTAATGTCAAAAAATATTGCTAAGTTGATTTCATATGGCAGGCTCTCTCCCGTCTAGGACTAGACAAAGTAGAGCTACCCCAAGAGGGTAAGCCAAGCAACTTTGATGATTCCTCAACTCTAAACCCCAATCAACAAATTATAAAAAATATATATACCAAACATGTTTTTGTTTTTGTTTTTGTTTTTACAAAAAAAAAACATAAACATAAACATGTTTAATATTTTCTATAAACAAAAACTACAAACTTTACCAAACGGCACCTTAATCTAGTGTTTAACATTGTCCATGTCCAATATCTAGTGAGGTTTCTCAACAAGTTGGACACCACGCAATTACCTTTCATACCAAAAATACTTTGATACATTCTTAAATAGTTGCAGAGGCAGAATTTTTTTTTTTTTTTTCATACTACTCAAATGCACAAAATTAAACAAGTACAAAATTCAAATCTGACCTGGGGTCCTACAACCAGCCCTGAACTGCCACTAACACTTGATTGCTGCAGGATACGCTTCGGTGGCTGTGGCTGTGGCAGTTGCTGAGACTGCTGTTGCGGCTGTTGTTCAAACTCTTGTTGTTGAAGAGCTATTGCCAATTGCAGGTCAGAACTGTCACAGAAAGAGAAACAAAAGAACAAATCACTTCCAGATAAGATCAATATGTAGAAACAATCCAAAAAAATGTAGAAATAACTACGACTAACAACGTTGTGAACAGGGGAGGTATCCAATGAACAAGAATATTTATAGATTCAAGGACTAGAAGTTCAAACTCCAATTGACATCAACACTCAGTATCCTATTCCAATATTAAACAGGTAATAAGCCTCTTATGACAGAGAAGAAAATGTAAAAAACTTCATTCTGTTCATCCCAGGTTTTCAAGCCAAGTAAAGTTTCCACAAAATAGGTTTTTATGTAGTGCAATAGACAAATAAAACCACAAGAAAATTAATTAAAAATAAAGAATGATACCAATTTGATCCATAATACCACTGGAAAGCAGGTAAGCATCCAATAACACAAACAAAAAGGTATCATCCCTTGTCACAAGAGGTTTACCATGTCCTCTTAAGTAGTATGGATACAGAGTCATAACCATACCATCTAAAACCACTTTCCCTTATCTTATCTTCAATGGACATGTCCAACAAAACATTTAAGAAATAACAATAAAAAATAAAATAAAAAGAAGAAGAAGATGACACTAGTAGCGACATGTGTTGGTGCTTCTTAGACAAGCTCTATGTACAAACTACAGATTTAGAATCAATGCATATGCAAAAGTAGTAGTCAGGATAATTACTTGAAACTTGAATTCACATGTGCTGCATTGTCAACGCTAGCAAGATAGTCCTGAAGCACATAAAGTGGAATCAGTTCCAAAAAAGCAATTAATGACAAATTTCAGAAAATTTGGTATAAAAGAAGATCTACACACAGCAGTACTGGCCATTGCATTTTGTTCATCCCATGTGCTGTTGGCACGACTCTCTACATTGAATTCCTTAAAATGGCCAGTCATAAACAATGTATTCCCATTGACCTGAAAATAAAACTAACTTAGCTCCAAGCCTGCAGAATGATAACCCCATATGAAACAATATTGTCACCTTCTTACAAGGTTCCTCAACTAAAGGTATTGCTTTTATTTCATTTATCAAGTGATGCAAAGTTTAGAAGTACAAAATTGAGTCATAATTCTCAGAAAAGATTTCATGGAAAAATAGGGAGCATCAGAATTTTAGCCTATCAACTCTTGGGCCAATTTATTTTCCAAAAAGAGAGGGAGGGGGCAAAGAGCATTTTATTTCAATCTCATTTATGATCAATCATGGTCAAACCAAAGATTTAAGACATAAGCTATGCGCAGGCCCCTATAAAAAAGATGACCATTGAAAAATATCTTACCTCATTTAGCTTTTCCCAAACTAAATCAGGTTGACTAATGTAACCTTGGTCTGTAGCCAAAATATACAATTCATCATTAAACTGCAAAAAAGATGACATTAGGTAATATCCTGCGAAGTAGTGTTGAGGGAAAGTTGGGAAACGACAATAATGCTTCAGTTATTTGATTCAATTGCTCTTAAGCTAATAGTATTGTTGGCATCACAATGACCACAACATTAATCATTAAATTACAGAAACAGTAACAAATGCTAGATAGTAACTGACCTTAAACATGGTGTTGAAGTGATTGTTGCGAAAAAAGACACAAAGTTCACGTTCTTTCAGACCATCTAGTAAGCAAAATAGGCTGCAAGATGTACAAATACTAAAATGAAAAATCTCCTTACACCTAAAAAAGCACAATAACAATTCCAAACATATATATAAGAAATTCTACAGAAAAACAAGAAACTGAAATACCCATATACAGTCAACTGACTGGCATTGTTCTTCAAAAAACTCTCAATCAGTTCCCCTAAAGCAAAATGAGTAGACAGTAAGCTAAGTGTTTGGAAAGAATGCAATATCACGAACAAATATATATAAGTACTAAAGAAACTAGGAATAAAATGTCCCAATTCATTTGATATAGAGCACTTCTTACCTTGTCTTGGAGTAATTTCATCCTTGGAACTAGCATCATAGGCATCTCTAGTACTATTGCCCACTTGTTCTGCAAGAACCACCTCACCTTCATACATGGGCTCTCGGTCTGCATAAATTTTTGTCCCTGATTCCAGCATGCATTCCTCTCCTTCATAAATGGGCTCCTCACTACCATCATCAGCACTAGAAGAAAAAGCATCAGGCACATCTGTATGCTGCCTTCTGCCACTGGATGAATCTGAATCTGCACCTGGTGCAGATAAACTTGAAACTTTCATTGTGTCACAACCACTTTGATTATGTTCTGGCCCATGCATATCATCAGTGGAAGTGGATTGCTTCTGAACTTCATCGTCTCCTCCAGATTTATGCATATGGTTTGCACATGCAGATAACAAATCTTGTCCAAAACAATCAGATGGTGCATTTGCATTCTGGAACACAACGTCAGCAATACTTTCCTCTACTACACCTTTGGATTTTACACATTTTCCAGATTCTTCAGAAGTTGAATGATCAATGTGATTGACTTGATCAGTTTTTGAACAATCAGCTTCCCTTGGAACTGCTTCATGAATTACCAACTCATTACTGGAATTGCTCAGGACATTGCTATCAAGGGATAAGGAAGGTTCGTGTTGATGAGACTTTTGACTTTGAGCCTGACTATACCCTTCTAATGTTTCTACAAGGACAGGTTCAGACTTTTTCATATATGCACTTTCATTTGAACTGAGGAACATATTTTGTCCATTCAATTTCACTGCAAGCGATTCAGCCTCTGACAATTCCAAGATTCTCTTCAGCTCTGCTTCTTCCTCTAGATCTCCTTTTCTTACATTACCATCATCAGAGATGGCACGTGGAGAGTCAAAAGATTTACCCCTTGAAAGGCATGGAGAAGGGACTCCCAGAGTAGCAGTTGTTGCAGCAGCAAAATCAACAGAATCTTCTTCAGAACTCATTTTTTGTTCACCCTCCATACTTCTTGCTACAAGGGCAACAAGCTCCTCCATGAGAGTATTATAGGACTTTGACCCAATCGCATTTGCAGTATCATAATCCTGGCGCATACAGACAAAGAAACTAGGCATCAAACCAAAGTATCTTGCTTTGCATATGTTTAAGAAGCTAATCAAAGCATACAGATTCAGTGGCTCTCAAAAAGAAGATAACCAAAAATGCAGAGATAATAATTGGCCTCGTTTGGGAACAAGCTAATTTAGTAACTTTTTGACTATTTGGCTAAAAAAGTAGGTAAAAAAAACTGATATGTTTGGGATGACTTTTTGGCTAATTACGAAAAGATGTGCAAAAAGTAGAGAGAAAAGAGAATCTTTGACTTTTTGGTATGAGTTGTTGGCTTTTTGGCTAAAAAAGTAACTTTTTGGCTTTTTGACTAAAAAGGTAAGTCCCCAAACGGGGTCGTAGGAATGGCAACAGGGCGGGGCAGGGGATCACCCTCCCCGTCCCCAATCCCCGATGGTGGAAACTCCCCCCGTCCCCGGTCCCGATCCCGACGGGGAGCTCATCACTGCCCCTACCCCCGCCCCTTAACGGGGATCGGGTTTCCCCGACCCCGAAAAGTCCCCGACCAAAAGAAAAAAAAAAATCAGATTCAACAACAACATCAAATTCAACATCAGATTCAAAGTTTGAACTCAAATCAATTCCAAAATCAGATTCAACAACAACATAATATATATATATATATAACAAATCGAAAGAGAGAGAGAGAGAGAGAATATTCCAGATCTGTGAAGCTTGGTCGGTGATGGTGCCGGCCAGCGAAGCTTGGTCGGTGATGGTGGCGGTGGGAGAGACGGTGGAGTTGTGGGAGGATGGAGATCAGCGGTGGGAGGAGGGAGATCGGCGGTGGGAGATTGAGAGAGGGAGACCAAGAGAGATGAGAGGCGGTGAGGATGAGTGACTGTGTGAGGTTCAGCTGTGTGTGTGAGTGGAAGGTTTGATTTATATATATATAGAGGGGCAAAATGGTAATTTTGCTTCGGGAAAAATTCGGGGCCGGGGACTGGGACGGGGACGGGCCGGGGCTTGTACACTGATCACGGTCCCCGGGCCCGAAACTGATCGGGGTTTTAATTTTGAATACCATCCCCGTCCCCACGGGGGTATTTTTTGGGGAAAAATCATTCTCATCGGGGTCGGGGGATCGGGTCCCCGTCGGGTCGGGTTCAAATTGCCATCCCTAATGCAACAGACCTAACACAGTCTTCAAAAATTAGACACATCAAAAGCTTTCGAGGCAATAACTTTTTTGGCAAAAGTTAACGGACATAAATGGAGCATGCAAAAGAGAAAAAATCCAAAAACAAACAAACAAAAAAAATCTCTTTCACATGCAATTTTACCAAAGAAAAGATTCAATGAGCATTGCAGATTGCATCATTTGACGTATCTTTCCAATTCTAGTTATTTATAACTGCGCTTGATCTACAATAGTAGCAACTTAATTCCAACATGTGGCAGAGACAGAGCAGATATAATCTGAGAGGAGCATTAAATTTCATCAATAACAACATAAAGCATCAAGGTAGCTAGATGTAATTTCCATTAGTTTCCTTCTCAAGCATAAATAAAAGCCTAACTTTATAAACAAAGTATACAATGAGGCTATGGGCCTACAAGTCTGGTGGGTAAGGCCATAAGGGGCATGAGGCTAAATACAAAGTGTACAACATAACAATCCTCCCAAATTCTAACATAATCAAATCTACCATAAGAAAGAACATGGATCAAGTCGAACATCCCATCCCCACCCCAAATAAAAATGAAAGAAAGTTCATTTTTTATGCATATTGAAATAATCTAGTGTTGAACATAAGTTGTTTTCAACAGAGAGGTTTGAGGCCCAAAAAAGAACATACCTGGGGGTCAACTATCCAACCATGATATAGCGGAATGTCCAAAAGATCAAATATTGCACACTCAGGAGTAAACTCAAAATCATCAATTCTGCAAGAATCATGCATGAGTTGTGGTCAACATTAAAACAAATGAACGAGGGGCTAAGCACCACACCAAGAGTACAACTGAACAGTGAAGTGAAAGATAATAAATGGTCACTATAGGCAAAAATGTAAGAAATTTCACCTCCTAAATTTTGTATTCACATCAATTCCAGTCGCAAGTCGAGGAAGCAAATCAATAGCATCAGAGATGTTTTGTTGTTGATTTTCAACATACCCTGCATCTTTGTTCTGCACCCAATTCAAAAAGGATCACAAATTTAACACAAAGCAGTGAAAGAAAGCATTTTCCCTCTGTGGTTCTCATCACATATGAGAGAACAGAAAGGAAGAATTACAAACATCCAAGAAATGAAGCCACTTGCATCCAATTGTTAGAATTTTCCTTTTGATTTTCTCATTCTAAAAAACCAAACAGGGCTTTAAAGTTGACAAAAAAAAACAAACAAAGAAATTACATTGACATTACTGTTTGAATCAATCAACCGCTCTGCAACAAGGGAAAGCAATTTCTCCTGTGAGATTTCTGCAATGTCTGGGCTTAAATTCAAGTTGTTCTTTAGCAGAAGAACATTACCTATCAAAATTAGCACATGTTGGTCATCAAAACACAGCTCTAACCCCAATTCCCAACACATATGGCAAAAAAAACCAATAGATATGAAGTCCTTACTACCAAATCATCTTCAAGAGATTCAATTCAACATGTCAGAAAAAACATAATTCATCATAATGGAAAAAGTATTTTGACTGAGAAACCAAAATCCTTATTCCCAAAATCAACATGAAGAACAATGAAGACCTAGAATTTGCAATTAAACAAAATTCATCGCTTGCAGCATAATCTTTCAAATTGAAATTTAAGTTGCAGACTATCATGCACTACTTTCCACTGATCATTCCTTGATTATAAGACAGAGAATTTCATTAAAAAACGCTGACATGATTGTGAGACAGTTCATACTGAATCAATGTCAACAGTGAGAAATCAAGAACCATAACACATATGGCAAAAAAACCAATAGATATGAAGTCCTTACTACCAAATCATCTTCAAGAGATTCAATTCAACATGTCAGAAAACACATAATTCATCATAATGGAAAAAGTATTTTGACTGAGAAACCAAAATCCTTATTCCCAAAATCAACATGAAGAAAAATGAAGGCCTAGAATTTGCAATTAAACAAAATTCATCGCTTGCAGCATAATCTTTCAAATTGAAATTTAAGTTGCAGACTATCATGCACTACTTTCCACTGATCATTCCTTGATTATAAGACAGAGAATTTCATTAAAAAACGCTGACATGATTGTGAGACAGTTCATACTGAATCAATGTCAACAGTGAGAAATCAAGAACCATAAGGACCTAGAATTCACAATCAAACAAAATTCACCGCTTGCAGCATAATCTTCAAATTGAAATTTGAATTGCAGACTATCATATGATCATTACTTGATTATAAGCCAATGAATTTCATTAAAAAACGTTGACATGATTGTGAGACAGTTCATAGTGAATGAATATGTTAACAGTGAGAAATCAAGAACAATAAAGACATAGAACTCGCAATTAAACAAAATTCATCGCTTGCAGCATAATCTATCAAATAAAAATTTGAAACGTTGACTACTTTCCACTGATCATTTCTTGATTATAAGCAACTGCTTGATTGTGAAACAGATCGTAATGAATGAATATGATAACAGTGAGAAATCAAGAACAATAAAGACCTAGAATTCACAATTACAGAAAATTCATCGCTTGCAGCATAATCTATCGAATCAAAGTTTGAATTACTGACTATTTTCCAGTGATCATTTCTTGATTATAAGCCACTGTAATGATTGTGAGACAGTTCTAGTGCATCAATGTCAACACTAAAAACACAAAACCCTAGAAGAGAGAGAGAGAAGGAGAGGGGTTTACAGATAGCGAGGAGAGGGCAGGGACCATTGTCGTTCTGAAGGACGATAGGCGTGGTGCGTCCCAAGAACTGTATTACCTTCGTCTTGTGAACCATTTCCTTCGCTGGTTCGTCTCTTCGCTCTTCTGAAGAAGCCATTGTTACAGCTTCTCCAACGAACTGAGATGTTGCGAAAGAAAATATAAACCCAGACTGTAGAGAGAAAATCTAGAGCGAGAGAGTCACGAAACACGGATGAGAAAATTTTGAGTAAGAACGATGGATAAAATTATGTAGGGGGGCTAGAGAGAAAAACGTGACGGCAAGATCAAAGGCTTTTTGCGTTCTATTTACTGTTTTTTTGGGGTAATGAATAAACATGTGATATATATATCGGTGTCTTATATTTATTAATTAATGTATTAGTTAGCGTAATATCATTGTTATTAGTTTTACTTTTAAAATTATATCATACCATCTGTTCATACATATAATATTATTTTATGTGTATATATCTCCTAACTTCTTGCAATATGACTTGTTTGGGAAGTTGTTATTTTAGTAAGTTATTTTAGTTTTTGGCTATTTTAGTAGGTTAAAATTTTTGTGTTGCTATTTTAGTAGGCTATTTTAGTTTTTGGCTATTTTAGTAGGCTAAAATTTTTATGTTTGGGAAGATGATTAGATTTTTTTGTGGTTAGATGTGATGTTTGTGAGAGAAAAAGTGAAATAATTATGGGTTTGATGTGATATTTTGTTTTATTAGCTATTTTAACATATTTTATCTTTTTGTGAATTTTAACCTAAACTAGACTATTTTTTTTCTTGCCAAACACCCCCATAATTTTGTCTTCAAGCTTAAAAAAAAAAAAAAAAATTCAAGAAACTCAAAATATGTGTATTTTACAGATAGAGAGAACATTACATATATTTTTGTATTTTTTTTTTTATTATTATTATTTTTTGCAGTGGGGATGAGATGCACCAAAATTTTGTTGGATGTTCAATTTGGAAAAAAAAAATTGTGAAAAAAAAATTAAGGAATGAAATATGAGCTCTTTTTTATTTTCATAGTCAAAATCTAAACATAGGCTTAAAATAATTAACATTTATCATAGTAATGTTTATGTTGGATAAAAAGGCACAAAAATGTATATATATTTAAAAACAATATAAAAAAAAAATTCACTGCAACCAATGTTTTCAATGAAAAGCTTATTTGTTACTTTAAAGCTCCCATTATCATTTTTCATAAAATTTATAAGTTAAAAGGTTGGATTAAGACATAATTTGGATAAAAAAAAATTCCAACTGAACAGATAGAACCAGATCAAAACTCTAGTTAAAAAGTTTATGTGATTTATATGCAATTTTTTTAAGAAGGGCTTGTAAATATATGACTCTCATCAAAAAATTTAGAGTCCATAAGTAGGGATCGACCATTAAAGTTTTGACCAATTCAAATTTGAGAACAGATTGAGCCATATTGACCCTAAAAATATAGTCTCAATTGAAATTAAAAAGTACGACTCGTGAATTACTCATAAATCCGATCAAAATGAGTTAGTCAAAAATTGGCCGATAGAGCCATTCTAAAAACTAGTATTATAACAAAATTTAAAAGCATTAAGTTAAATATGTGTATAATTTAATAATATAATTGAAGTAATTTTATTTCAATAAATATTTTTATTTTTAATTTAATATGTAATCCATAAGTAGGGATCGACCATTAAAGTTTTGACCAATTCAAATTTAAGAACAGATTGAGCCATATTGACCCTAAAAATATAGTCTCAATTGAAATTAAAAAGTACGACTCGCGAATTACTCATAAATCCGATCAAAATGAGTTAGTCAAAAATTGGCCGATAGAGCCATTCTAAAAACTAGTATTATAACAAAATTTAAAAGCATTAAGTTAAATATGTGTATAATTTAATAATATAATTGAAGTAATTTTATTTCAATAAATATTTTTATTTTTAATTTAATATGTAATTTTAATTGTTGTAATGCATTTCAAAATTTTGTATTATTTTTGTTACACGGACTTGGGTTGGGCTTAGCCCATGGGTCTATACTTGATATGGGTTTGGGGTTTAAATTTTTGAATCACTGACCCATTTGTGAAGCTTAATAGAGTGATTGGAGGAATTTGTTAAAAGTTATTTTTTTGGTTTAATTCAAAAAAAAAAATTATATATATATATTTTAAATCAAATTATATAATAATTATTATTTAGTAAAAGTGGGGGCCATATAATCCTAACATGAGACAAAACTAAAATCAAAACCTTCGTAATTAAGGTTAACCCACTAGACGTGCGCTAACAGACGAGAAATGTAAGCCGTGTACATAACTTCGAATCTTCGATCCAATCAAGCCTATTACAATATTTTTTAAATATATATATATATAGTATTTTATTATAATAAAAAAAATAAATATCAAGAATTTGTGATTTTATTATTGTATAGAAGAGTAATCATGTATTTTTATTTTGAAAATAAATAAATAAATAAAATTTAATTTAAATTAATAAAATTAAAAATTAAAGATTTATTTTATTATACGAGTGAGACTTTAGTAGATTTTTATAATTTTTTCTACATTCTTTTTAGGGCAAATTACCTACGCTCCCTCGAGATTTGGTGAAAATATAGATTCTTCCTGAGTTTTGAGAAATTACAAATTGCCCTCTGAGGATCAAATTTTCATAATAAATTAGGGAAAATTAAGGAAGAATCTGTATGAAAATAAAAATCTCAAGGGACAATTTGTTATGAAAATATAAACTTCAGGGACGGGATGTAATTTCTCAAATCTTAAAAGAAAATCTATATTTTCACCAAATCTCGAAGGAGATGTTTGTAAGGAAAATGCCTCATACACCCACTGGGGGTCGACCCCCAGTGAGGTGGCAGTTCACAATTGGATAAAAAAAAATTGTTTGTTTTTTTTTTTTTTTTTGAGTTTCGGCCAGTGAAGGCGTGACACCTCACTGAGGGTGCGGCCTTTTTTCTACATTCTTTTTAGGGCAAATTACCTACGCTGTCTCGAGATTTGGTGAAAATACAGATTCTTCCTGAGTTTTGAGAAATTACAAATTGCCCTCTGAGGATCAAATTTTCATAATAAATTAGGAAAAATTAAGGAAGAATCTGTATGAAAATAAAAACCTCAGAGGACAATTTGTTATAAAAATATAAACTTCAGGGACGGGATGTAATTTCTCAAATCTTAAAGGAAAATCTATATTTTTACCAAATCTTGAAGGAGATGTTTGTAATATGCCTTTTTTTAAAGAAAGTTTTTCTTGACAGTGGGCACCGAGTGCGTGAACTTTACGTGCAAATTTTTTCTTTTTATTTTTTATCGAACTTTACGTGCAACTACTACCCCAAACGCCCACAAAACTGGCTACCGATAAAGAATGTTGGACCATCGAACCTCTTTGGCCTTTATGTTCACAAAAGACCCACCGGTAATCGGCGGTTGTCAGTGTCTCACCTCGCGCGTCACACTATGTCGGTTGTATGATTTATATGTAGTGGCTTTTATTTTCTGTATTTAGTTGAGAAATTTAAAAATGAATTTAATAACAATAAAAAAATATAAAATTATATAAAATGTAAGTATATTTTATTTAATTTTTTTATTTTTCTTTTCAAATCTCTTTTTAAATTTTTCAATCAAATATAATATTATTAACTCCAATGTAAGTTTGTCCATGTTCTTCATAAATTACTGTTATTTTTAATTTGTATCATAGGTATGATTCAATTTTTTTACAGAGAAATATTTTTTAATTTGTATTTTTTTTATTAATTTTTTAATTCAAGAACAATTGCATTGAACACCTTTTTTTTATTTGGTCATAGGTGTTAGAATTAGAATTTGTATAGTAAAAAATTGTTTCCAATGGGATGGGCAACTTTAAAATAGTTATTATATAGACCATGCACATTATACATGTAAATATAGTCTATAAATGAGTAGGTGACGCGCTATGCATGTGAATTTATTTTTAAAATGAAAAATTAATTTTAAATTTTAATATTTTATGTGTAAAAAATTTTAACAATTAAAAGTTAAATACAAACAGATTTGCTAATGATTGATAAAAATTATTGTCACTATGTGTGATTTTATATAAAATATACTTATAAAAATAATTTATTTCAAAGTTTAAAAAAAAGGGATATTCTCAACTTGAAATTAATTTCTCATTTGTGTTAATCAAATTTACAAAAAATTATGAATTCCACTTGTGTCAAAATATTTTTTTCTGAAAAAAAAATATCAAAAAATTCTATAATATAAAAATTGTGACTTTGTTATAACTCATAGTGTATTATTTTGGTTATTAATCGAAAAAGTCTTTCCTAATTTTTTATGCTTCTAATAATGTCTAAAGTGGTATATCGGGCCTTTAATTATACTTTAAGTGGTATTTGATTATAATTAATTATAATATTTTTATATGACAATATTTAACTATTTTATTACGCAAAAAAATTACTTAAGGTGTGTCGACTCAAAGGTAGAATTTATGTTTATATCAGTAAGATCGTAAGAGTTATTTACATTGATACATAAAAAAATTATAAATTTAAATCATAAATCGTATCCTCAAAAGGGAATTAAATAAAATAAAATAAATGTATAACCTTAATAATTTCAATTCTCAAAGGAGTTTTGATTAATTATTTGACATGTCGTAATAATTGTAAAATTTTTATTCTAGTCAAATTATTTTTGCATATGTTTTTTAGCAGAACTCGTGAAGGTGTATTATCAATAATACTATAAATTTAAAATTTTTATTTAAAAATTATTCAATAAATATCAATAGGTGCCTTAAATATATACAATAATTTTCAATGGGGAATGGCTTCCCTCCGGTCCAATCATGGACTAGAGAGTCCTATTGGACCCATAGGGACCCAGCACGGGTCTCATTTCAATAATTTGAACCGTTTATTGTGTAGAAATCATCGAGTACGATATGCCTAATAAAAATTACGTTGATCGGATATCGATAGCTATGTGATCAAATCTGTTTTGTATAAAAAACAATGGAAGGTGAAAATAAATGGCTTACAAAAATCTGATTTGATCACATAGCTATCGTTATCCGATCAATGCAATTTTTTACAGGCATATAGTACTCGACGAATTCTATACATTGAATTATTCGGATTATCGAAACGGGACCCGTGGTGGGCTCCCACGGGCCCAACAGTACCGTCAAGTCCGATCATGGACGGGAGGTAAGCCATTCCCTTTTCAATGAATCATTATTCTTTAATAATACTCTATACTATTTTTATCATTTGACATTTGTCAATTTATCTTCTAAAAA